ATCAGCATCAGCGTCATCATCATCATCATCATCATCATCATCACCATCACCGTCATCACCATCATCACCATCGTCAATCACCATCATCATCGTCGTCAATCACCACCATCAGCGTCACCATCGTCATTATCGTCATCGTCATCATCAGCATCTGCATCTGCATCAGCATCATCACCATCTTCATCATGATCATCATCATCAGCATCAGCATCAGCAACAGCGTCATCATCATCATCATCATCTTCTTACCACGCGGCGAAAGAAGTCCCCTCGTCCTGCGAGTGCCATTCAGTCCACGTGTGGGACCGGCCAATCTTGATGGCAGGCTCTAAAGCCACGTATGTGGCGCCAGCTAAGACAAAATGATGCGCCGTAGCGCCGTTTAAACAATTTGTGATCCTCTGGTCAATCGTCGAGTGTTTCCAATGAGAGCACGACGAGGCGAGTGGATCTTGTATGGCACTTGTTGTGTGCCTCTTTCCTAGCCAAGCGATCCTCCATGATCTGAACACGATCCGAGAGCCGGGAGTGGGCCTGCTGCAGCTGTTCCAGTCCCATCGCTAGTCCCTGCACTTGCATCTGCAGAAGACTGAGCCTGCTGGAGATCCAGTCGAGGTCCATTTCCCGCAGGGTTCGTGAAGTGCTGGAATCCATCGTCTGACCGAGCTGCTAGCAAGCCGGCTGGAGCATGAAAGGCGCTGCAATGCACGAGAGCAAGAATACACGCATTGGTGCTGGCATGATCAACTTGAGCATCTGTCAGTTGACAGGGAGCCTTTTCATCATCCAAGAGCCAAAGCTGGTCTGGCTGCATCCATATGACAGCTGTGTAATGGCCAGCAGTCGGTGCAGAGCCGTGATGCTGAATGAACCCTATGACCCTGTACTGTTCCCACTGAACAAGCATGTTATCAGCCGTAGCAAAGACCGGTATTCGGAGTGTGCTGGGCAGGATGTAGGCATGCTGTAGCTTAACAGGCCAACCCGGGGCAAGGTAGTGAAAGCGCGGGAGTTGTATGAACAGCCAGGGTGGTGGCTTGTTGTAGGCTTGAAGACCAATCTGTGTATGCCAGGCCGAAATCAGCTCTTGCACGTCAGGCAAGTGCCGAGCCGGGTCATTGACCAGGACAAGACACTTTGTTGCCGGAGCCAGCTCAGCTATTTGCATGCCATCTGCAGTCAGGCTACGCGCCTCGCAACAAGCAGCATCAGTAGCCGGGACGATGCGACAGTGCAAGAAATCTATGAGTTCTGCGACGTCGTGCTGTCGCTGAGGCTCCGGCCAACCCAGAAGCTTAAACCCCATCAGGCGAGCGGCCCAAAGTGGCTTCCCTGATTTGTCCCAAAAAGCCTGAGGGAGCAGGTGTTGTTGCTTACAGGCCGAGAGGGCAGCAGCGAGAAGGTAGAGAAAGGAGTTGAGGTAGCAGCTGTTCAAACCACCCTGAAGTCGAACCCTGGGGAGAGGAAGATGCGGGACTGAGCTGGTGGGGGCTGCGGCTGCTTCAATCAAAGGC